GTATTTATTTACTTTTTTTTTCCTCATTTTACCTCATTCGTGTTAGCTGTCGAACGAAAGAATACCCAAAAATAACATATTGCGTGTGTAATTAAATTACTTCCACACGTATCAATAACATTCGCCATAATATGCTTTTAACAAAATGAAAATTCACAAATTCATTCATCGATTACATCAATCCGCTACGGATATTAAATATTGATGCTTTCATTTAAATTATTATTGATGTCTTCCGCGGTCCGACGTAAGAACTCGCACGTACTTTACCGATAACCTTTATATTATAATACGTCCTCAATATTATAACAAATTGTTTTTAATGAGTACACCGCAGTGTCCCAAGGGGAAAGTCTTCGGCCAGAATTGTGAATTACAGCATTGAGATGCGGTCGCTCACAATCGACCTCATCAGAGAGCTTAAGTTACCTAAAGATAAATGGTGACAGTTATTCTCGAATTTTCCCTCCGAGATCGACTCTGAAAGAACTAAAATAATTGATATTTGTCCCAAAAGTAATCACACATTGCGCAGAAGATTGTCGCTGAAGATAAAGCTCCCGTGCATCGGTACGTGCAGAAAGTCTTACCGGTTTGGCAAACCTTGGAGGAGGCCTATTTCTATCAGTCAACGTGTACATTATTCATGAATGAAATAAAAATGTTCAGGATAAAAACAGGGTTATGCGAACAAATAGTACTGAAAAAATAAAGACATGAAGTGATGTGGTATTGATGGAGGAAAGAATTTTCGAAAACTAAGTCGACCTTTGATTTTGAATTGATGTCCATGCGTGACTGACCTATTAGATCGTTTAGTCCTACTAGGATGGCAACACAAAAACTCTATATTACAGTGATATTAAAAAAAAACTTTCAAACGACAGCAAAACTTCAAATTATCATCCATAGTTGTAATTTATATCTGTTAACAACTATGTATTGTAGTATACCACAAATCGAATAGAGGTTAAACACATCTACTGCTTCAATCGAAAAGTGATTTGAAAGTACAGGAACACATTATTCTGAGCCCACTTAAGTTGCTAATAATTTTAACATTCGAACTTCGAATCGTAATCTTAAATAGAAATGGCGGAAAAGGCAATAAAAATACTTTCAATCAATCACCGCTAGAGAAAAAAACAAAGCGGACATTGAACTCTGCACATATTAAAGAAATCATTTTTAAATACCGGATATAATATCAATCTATAAATATTGCGGATAATTATTGTAAAAATAAGAGGCTTCTATTTTCGAATCACTATCTAATACTACATTATATTTTAATACAAAATTTTTCATTTCTCTAATAACCTGGTCATTTGTATTTAGATTTTACTTAGTCTTTGCATCATTAATAATATCAAGAAAATTTTATCTGAATGGTTAGATTCGGTTTAGGTAAGATCCGCTCTAGCTCTTCAATACGCAATTCATGGACGCGTGTCATTGCAACGTAATCGTTATTAAAAATACTTCTTACGGTTTCATCTCGATTTTGTATTGTCAAGAATCGCCTAATCGTACGTAACCACAAAAAACTACAACGTATTATTTTACGAATGTAACAAGACATTCTAAAAAACGTAAAAGTATTTTTCCCCTACTTATTCGCTCGTGGCCCAAGGCTATTCCAGCCTCTCGCAGACGGGTAGGTGAGTGAATGTGCCTAATACTAGCCCTAACAAGCACAGTGCTTCTCGCAGAATCAACCACCAGATCGGAGTCAAAATAGTTTCAATTATATCTGCCACTCGCGAAAACCGAAGATAATACATTATAATAATTAATTTACCAGCATATTATTTCTGAAATTTACACTTATGTATATTTTAAATGATTGAACTCGCAATTAAAAACCTTTTGAACAGGCTTAAAGTATATATGTGATTGGACGTTCCAGCAAACACATTTAAAAGTCACAACAGTTTTTGAATCTATGGCATACCCAAATAAAACTTTTACTTCTTTTGCAAAACATGCCACTAAATTACATTTCACCGTGATAATTGCGCTTTCGGATAGAATCGCTTGATTTCGCACGGACTCTTGATAGACTGTATGATGTATTGACTAGGTCATGTCATAAATAACGCGTTTGAAATCACTTTGGAAAATCAGTTTGCGATTTCAAATTCGAGGTAACTAGCTCTCAGAAAGACATAGACTATATTTATGTATTTGAAAAACGAACACTGATTTGTTCACTGATATGATTAGTGGCAGTATAATGAATGTTCGCATATCTTGTTACATAATAACTCCTAAGCTTTATATCAAATACGAATCACAAAATATTATATTTAATACTAGCTGCACCCGTCCGCTTCGCTGGGCATTTAAAATTAACATTATTATTTCTCACCCCCACAAAGATTCTCATCATCAACCAGTTGCGGGGAACTGGTGTAGGGAGTCCAACACTCATATAAATATTAGCCTATCCATTAAGTACATGTATTTTCTACATGGATACCAAGTTTCAAGTCAATCAAATGCATGGTCCAGTAGTTATAACGGAACATCCGTAAAAACCATTGTAGATTTATATATTAGTATAGATTGTTTTTTGTGTCATATTCTAACCTAAATACCTTACTATTTAAAAAAAAATCGTAACATTATACAATCATTCGATTATCTATCGAGTTTTATAATCGACCTGCTGAAGTGCACTCCGACCGTAATTGGACGTTGGTGAAAGACTTATCTGTCCAATGTCCAACATGTTTAACTGCAAATTTTTACACAATGATAAATACGCCAATGTTTGCCGAACACGAGACTTGTCAAATGTTATTTATTATGATGCGATCTTTGTCTTTAGTTCGTATCCTTAAGCTATCATCACTGTTCAGGCACTAGGTTTAATAAAAATTTTGCAGAACAAAAGTTCTTATGGACCATATATGCTGATGTTAGAATCTGAAATGAAATTGAAAAACAAATATAAATAAATAAATAAATATTTAATAACAATCACGCCACGTTAACTGGTCCCGTCCTAAGTTCGTAAAGAACTTGTGTTACAGGTACCAGATAACGGAAATAAATGTAAGATTTTGATTATACACGTACATATATTTAATATACATCCATAACCCTGGAAAAGACATTTATATTTATCATACAAAATATCTTCCCTTGGCGGGATTCGAACCCGCGACCCCGTTGTGTAGTGACCATGTCACTTACCACTACACCAGACGACCGTTGAATGATAGTTGAAATAAATAAAAAACCCGACCAGGGAAAAAATCCCGACCGGCGCCCTCTTCTTCGATGTAGCGAAGGCGTTCGACAAAGTCTGGCACAACGGTTTGATCTACAAACTGTACAACATGGGAGTGCCAGACAGACTCGTGCTCATCATACGAGACTTCTTGTCGAACCGTTCGTTTCGATATCGAGTAGAGGGAACTCGTTCTCGTCCCCGTCATCTGACTGCCGGAGTCCCGCNGTAGGAAAAAAAAAAAAAGGAAATCTACTGCTATCTACACTTATCGACGTGTTATATTATACAAAATCTTATAGTATTATCGACGGTTTTCACGGCCCACCTGGTCTTAAGTGGCTACCGGTGCTCAGAGACATCAACAATGTAAATGCCGTCCCACCTAGAGACATCAGTTCTAAGTCTTAATTCTATAGTACCACGGCTGCTCCGCCCTGCAAAACGAAACGCACTACTGCTGCTTCATATGAGAAATAGGTAGGATGAGTTTTTTTTATTGCCTTTGTAGGCAGACGAGCATACGGCCCACCTGATGGTAAGTGGTCACCGTCGCTCATGGACGTCAGCAATGCCAGGAGCAGAGCCAAGCCACTTGCTAGCCGAGGCTTGCGGAGAGTACTTAATGGTAGGCCCATGAAGTACTCTCCGCAAGCCTTGTTTGAAGAAAGATATGTCATAGCGCTCAGAAAACACCGTGGAGGGGAGTTCATTCCAAGGCTGGATGGTACGTGGCAAAAAAGATCTTTGGAAACGCACTGTCGATGAACGCGGCGGTTCCAGATAATATGGATGAACTCTGCTCCGATGGCGGGACACAAAGGAGTGACACAAAACGCCCTACCACCAATAATTACGTATTTCGTAAAACCGAAAAACCCACGCCAAAGCCGAAAAAAAGTCAAAGAAGGTCAAACGGTTAATAAAAAAATATATTTAAGCATTACCCACGCTTTAAGAGAGCAAATTCGATCAAAAATTCTTTGCACCACGATAATGCACTTTCGTACAAGGCTATCATTATCAACAAACATCATCGAGCAACCATTTTATTCACTAGTTATAGGTTTAACGGACTTTTGAACTTCTGACTTTTTCTGAAACTCAAATTACATTTAAATTTCAATTTTCATTGTAATTTCAATTGTGTTTTCAATAGCCAAAGCTATGCACATTAATATGGTTTTGCTGAGTGCACATACTATTTAGATTGTAATCCAGATTAGATCTAGGTACTACTTGTACGATTTAGCTAATATGTACTGTAATGATTGTAATTTGTTTTGTGCATCAATAATAAATAAAAAAAATAAAAAATAATGTCTTGGTAATTATTAAGTATCCTAAGTGTATCGTTTCTAAAGGACCATACTTTGAAGGGGATAAAACAAATTTTGATAAGTATACAAACATATTTTTGTCTATTACCGATATTTTCCCGGTACTTTCTTGACAGAGTAGAAAAATACTTCAAGTCATCTCAAGTTGCTCCGTCCGGAAACCAGTTTACTATTGTTTTAAGTTAATTGTTTAATCATTAATAATTTCGATTCTTATGCAAGTTTCTTGTGTAATCAAATCGAAAGGTGTCGAATGTGGTTTTTGGGTCAAATTCTAAGTGTATACTTTTACTGTCATTAAATGACCGAATGATTTCGAATTATAAATTATAAAATATAATAACATAATGTTAAATTTTATAATGTGCAATTAATATTTAATAATATCGATCGAAATTAAACTTTTATGGTATACTTTCTTAATCGCTTCTCGGCCTTTTGGCTAAGATCAAAGTGTATTATCTGCTTTATAGTATCTGCTCTTTTCAGCTTAATAGCTGAAATTTCCCTCATTGAGGGACCAGTATACTAAACTGATTTTTGTAAGATTTGTCACAATTTTGAAATAAGTTGCATTGCGTCTTTCTTAATACTCTACAAGCAATGTAACGCGAATTAAATAGGTTGAAGCTTGATGTCAACGACCTCGTGTGATCTGGGTAGTGCGTCCCGCTTTTAAATTACAGGCTTAAATGGTTATGTTATGACTGAAATTAGGTTGTGACTAAATAAAGCTGTCTGCCATCAGCATGAATGTCATAATGAAAAACTAGTGACCCGCCCTCGCTTCGCTTCGGAAACTGTAATTCATTATTGATTTCTCCACTATTTAATGAATGTTATTATACATATAAACCTTCTTCTTCAATCACTCTATGTTTAAAAAAACTGCATCAACATCCGTTGCGTAGTTTTAAAGATTTAAGCATACATAGGGATATAGGGACAGAGAAAGCGACTTTGTTTTATACTGTGTAGTGATGAAGATGATTAAAATAGCTATCCTACCCTTGAAACAGAAACTTATCATTACTTTGTCTAAGTGTCTTATAATCGATTGGTCGACTAGCTACGTAACTTCACTACACTTTCTAAGCACAAACGAACCTTAGCTTGGCATTTTAGTTAATTTACCTAATGATTTCTTATGCTTCAATACCTTGATTAAACATTGTTAAGTAAGGCACAACTTGACATTTCGAATTGTGTAATCTATACAATTCGATGTAAAATTAGATGCATTAAAAAATAAAATATGCAATTTTTGTAAATGTCGATCGAATTTTAACGTAATGTTTTGCGTTTTAAATGAATTTTAAGTCTTATTTATTTCACAGCTTATGAATTTTAAAAGTAATCACATACAGTTGTTGAAGCCACTAGCAAAAAAAACCCGAAATCTAGCGCTTTCGGTAAAATTTCAAAAATCTACAGTTTTCCCTAGCCGGTGTAGTTTGGACGCGATTAGATCAATTTAAAAAAAATCGGCCTTAATAACATCATAAAATAGCTGATAATTATTTGACATTGTCAAACTGTCACATCAATATTTCTAAACTATTAAACCCTCACGGAGACTTTTTGGCGGGAATGCGCAAATGCGGGAATATGTAAATAGTTTTATTGTGCTAATTCAGTGTTTCTTCAGGTTTACAAGTGTAATAATAGTGATTTATTATCTGTTTAGCATCTGTAAAAATGCTCAAATGTGGGAAAATGAAACAAAGTTGCTACATGTAGCTTCCCGTGTTTTTTTCCAAAAATTCCACCGCCACCTTAAAAAAAGTCTCGGTGAATAACCACCATTCTACTGAGACTTTATTTCATTCAATTTATTTCATTTCATCTGATTTCGTCGCAAGTGACTGCAGTCTCTGATAAATCATTATCACCCATGTCATTTTCGCTCCACATATTTTTTTAAGGGATTTTATGACCCGGTAACTAAGGTCTTTAGATCAAGTCTTATTTTAATTTATATTCTTAGTTTTATGAAAACTGGTATTATGGTGTTAAATGAAATGAAGATGATTAATTTGAGACATTAATCAACTGAGATGAAATGAAATGAGGTGAGATGATATGGGATGAAATATAATCTCAGTAAAGTGATGGTTATTCGCCAAGACTTTTTCAGAGGGCTTTTTGGAGGATCCCGAGAAGCTACGTCCAGCGACTTTGTTTCATTTTCCCACATTTGTGTACTTTCACATATATTAAATAGTTAATAAACCACCGTTACTACACATTTAAACATGAAGAAACACTAAATAGAAAAAATAAAACAAATCACACAACTTCACTCCTCGCGTTCCCGCCAAAAAGTCTCCTGCTCCACATTACTTATCATGTCACAGAATATTTATAATATTAGGCTGTATGGTGTGATACCTTCGCCTTTCCTGTTGGAGAAATGCACTACTGCTACTTAAATCCTTAAGAAAAGAGATTCAACGACACTGTATTTTAAAAAGGTTTTTAGCATATGTGACACATCACGAAATTTTTATTCCTTATCCAAATTCGTTTCAACCTCTGACAGATTTTACCGTTTCTGTCATTAACGGGTGCTTTTATATCACGATGTTGTCATTCGAAAGTATTACGCGCTATTTTAATATTTGGTCATTAATTTATTTATACATAATATTATAATTACTGAGAGCAAAGTTGTTAAAAGTTATAAATACCGCAGTTTTTAGAAATGGTATCGAATTACTGGTACTACTTGTGAAATACCGCAGTTTTTACAAATGGTATCAAATTACTGGTGGTAGGACCTCTTGTCCGCACGCGTGGGTACGACCACCCCACCTATTTCTGCCGTGAAGCAGTATTGCATTTCGGTTTGAAGGGCGGGGCAGCCGTTGTAACTATACCTGAGACCTTAGAACTTTTATCTCAAGGTGGATGGCGCATTTTCGTTATAGATGTCTATGGGCTCCAATAACCACTTAACACAAGGTGGGCTGTGAGCTCGTCCACCCATCTAAGCAATAAAGAAAAAAATGTTTGTGGTTAGTTTCCCATATATGTTTATGCAGCCACTTACTAATTTAATGATGATACCTACAGGCAGGACGGTGTTACTGATCTGACTGATATCCATTTTTCCAATGCCCATACGATTCGGGGGAAGAATATAAAAAAAATGTGTGGTGTCGTAGGAAACCGGATAGGAACGAAGTTCCTTATTATAAAAATATTAATTTTAAGTTCTATTCAAGGTATAAACAAAACAATTATTCGGGTACCTATACATTTTTATTATGATTTTTTTAATGATAAAAAAAACTACTTTACAAAGTTATCAACTTTATTTTATTCACAATGATTTATAAAAAATATATAATAAAAAAATGTTATTCTTTGTACGTTATTACTAAGTTAAGTCGTACACTGTGTGCATTACCAATAAAAATCTTACGTTACGGACGTTTTTTTCCGGTTAGAGTACACCTCCGCATCGTCCCATAAGGAACTTCGTTCCAAAAAGTATTACTAAGGATGGACGACAAAGAAGAGGGTTGAAGAAAGCCTGGATCCTTCTGAATCTGAACCCAACGTCTTCCGATTAATAGCCATAGACACGAATAAGATCCTCTTAAAATTATCAACAGAAACGGTTGTCTTGTTTACACTTTTTCAACTATACGTCACCACATTCCAATCATGACTAACTGTAAATATAGTACATTGAACGTTTGCGAATATTGAATTTCAATCTCGGCTATTCAAAACACGCCGTGTGAACATGAAACATTTAGTGTTTCTGCTCACGTCGCGTCGCCCGGGCGCTAGCGTCAAGTTAAAGTTGAACGAACCGAGTTGTTGCACTTTTAGTTTCCCAGGATGATTTTCGTTATTGTAATTTAAATATGTTTGGATACGTTTCGGAATGTACGTAGTTAGGAATGTTTCGAATTTGTTTAAGCAAATGAGAGGGTAGTCGTTTTTGGAAATCTTATCAAATAGATTATGGTTCGAATTACAAAAAGAAAATTATTTTGAGTTTTAAGTATTTTGGAAATCTTATCGAATATAAAATGGCTCAAATTACAAAAAGAAAATTATTTTGAGTTTTAAGTATTTTGGAAATCTTATCGAATAGAAAATGGTTCGAATTACAAAAAGAAAATTATATACAGTTTTAAGTACATATATGTGGGATGGTAGGGCGAAATCTAGTGAATATTTTCTTTAAAATCTTTTAATAAAAAAAACACTCGTAACATCGTAATCTTAATCGATGATTGACCTTGATATTCCATTTCTTTTAATATAAATCTAATGTGCCCGCGTGAACTAATGAATATATACCGGATAACCAGAAAGATAATAGGAAATTTTTATTTTTATTATTGCTTAAATGGGTGGACGAGCTCACCGGCCCATCTGATGATTATATACAAATAGATATAATATAATATTTTTAGATATTTATATCAAAGAAATGGAATCAAAGAAATTATGATGGTATATTAAAATCCGGTCAACATATTTAAACATACCTAGAGTAATGAACGCAATATAAATGACATACGTATCGTATCGCGATGTGACTGATGCATAAAACATTATACTCGTTCGGACTAAATAATGAACCAAAAATTATTTTCCTTTGAATTAAACATGCACTTAAAATTAATAAGAGATACGTTTTATTTTAAATGTAAAACACGTTGTTCTGTTTCTTGGAATGTTATTAACATGAAAAATATTATTACACTGCTACAGTTTGTCATTATTAAAATAAGGAAGAGAGACATCGCCGTCTACTGAGTTCATCTCTCACTATTTATGGTGAAAATGATATTAAGTTGGTTTAGTACATTATTTGACGATATTTCGATGGCGCCCTGATAACGGAAAACTATCATTTATATATAAATAAAACTACTTTATGATTTAATGTCGCGGTTTTTTGTTGTTATTTTTTTGTTATTATATGTTTTTGTTTTTTTGTGACAACTTAAATTTATAAATTTCTCTTTTTTTCCTTTTGTTCACTTTGTACGTATATGTGATTTTGATGGTGGAAACTTGTATGGTTATTGTTTTAGCTCTTTTTTTAAATATTATTTGTTTGTTTTGTGCTGTTGGTTTCCCAAATAAATAAATAAAATTATTTCGTAGTAAGAGACGAATAATAAATCGCGAAATTGAATCTTACAATCAGTTTTAATTAAGTCTACAACAACTGAAAACCTAATAAAATGCTATACATATTTTCATATACTTAAGTATGTTAATGTTTAGAATTGTTTTACAGGTGACTGAAAGGGGATTTTCTATCTCTTTCCCGCAACGCAAATGCTATTATATCATTGGTATCGCGCTCATTAACGAATAATCATCGTAATTATCACATCATCAAACAATAGTGCGCTGTTTGACTTTTTTTTATTTCTTAGACGGGTGGACGACCTCACGGCCCGCCTAATGTAAAGTGGTTACCGGAGCCCATAGACATCTACAACATAAATACCGCCACCCACCTTGAAAATGAAACCATGAACCATGAAAATAAATATGTATCTTGAAATATTATTTTCGACGCCCGACTGTATAACGCGAAAAATCAACAAGAACTCATTTTGAATTCTCGTTATTACGAAACA